GCTTTCTATGGATTTCTATGACCTAGAGAATTCACTACAACCTCCATGAATCAAACTACTCCGTTCCTCCTCTATTCCCACTTGACAAAACATATGGATCATTACATCCTGACTTTACCTCACTCCAAAACCAGTCAGCACATACCCGTAAACATACCGTACTATCCCACGCACAACAGATGGTGTCCCGTCAGGGTTCTTGATGCCTACATACAGCATCATAACTTACTGCCCTCACAAGCATTACTACAGCTACAAGGTGCAGTACTCACCACTACAACCTTCATGACCTACGTCAGGTCCTTGCTCACACAACTGGGCCTCAACGCAGACAAATACTCAGGGCACTCCTTTCGTATAGGAGCCGCGTCCACAGCCTCCAGTGTCAACATCCCAACTCATGTGATCAAAACACTGGGGCGCTGGAAGTCATCCGCTTACTCACGGTACATACCGAACCCAGTACAAGAATTAAGGGATGCTTTCAAAAACATGTCTGGTTGATAAAATGTATATGTATTGGTTTTCTGTAATAAATTTGATTACTTAATTTTTGCCCTCTTCTTTCTCAGGCCTACCTCATCGTCGGTTCCGGTACACCACAACCAACTTGCTCTTTTTACTATCCTACATTTATTTATGGTATTTCACACTGGACTATCATAAGCACCTAGCACAAGTGTTAAGGCAATTTGCCTGGATTTGTGGGAGGTGCTGGTTTGCTACCCCTAGCCTACTTAAGGCACTCCCCTTACCTGGCTCCTTACCGTTTGAGGTCAACGTTGAATGACCCTCCCACCACACCACATTTTAACATTTATTTTCTAATTTCTTTCCCTGGGTAGGCCCTCTTCTTTCTCAGGCCTACCTCATCGTTGGTTCCGGCACACCACAACCAACTTGCTCTTTTTACTATCCTACATTTATTTATGGTATTTCACACTGTACTATCATAAGCACCTAACACAAATAAATATATATATATACACACACACACACACACACACATATATATATATATATATATTTGCCTATATACATATATCATTTTATTATTATTTTTATTTATATATCGCTATAGATATATAAGTATCAAGGAAGGTGCACTCACAGGACTTTGTAAATAAATCTTGAAGTTTTATTGTGCAATTATACACCAGAAATTGTGTTGACGATTCAGTCCTCTACGGGACTTTTCTCACGACAAGTTTTAATGCCAAAAACAGAGTTTAAATAAGTGAAATAAAAATAAGTGAAGAGTGATTGTAATACAAAACAGGGTGTGTTACATATTCAATGATGTGAGCAGAATCCTTCCATTCATCAAAACTAAACAGCAATACTTCCAGTGATATTCTCATCAAATCCTGAATATACAATTTAGTGTTACACAAAAGTGAAAAATTACATACAGTGAAATTGCAGGCACCCCAGTGCTTACAAAGAGGTGCACAAGAATCCTGTGAGTAAATATTCAGAAAAAGACAATCGTGGGGAAGATCGTCTAAAAAAAACATTACCGCAACCGCAAGCTGAAAAAGTAATATATACAATATTTAAGCATACTGGACTAAGGACAATCTGGTATCAGGAAAATCAAATAACTATCCTGTATAGATTTAACAGTGCTAAAACATAACTTGCAAGCCCAATTAAAAGCAAACAATCAGGAACAGTACAATACTTTAGCACATCAAAAATCTATCAGTACAATATGTACACTACAAATGTATAAATGTATAAATGCCGAAAATGCTGAAACGTAAGCAATAAATGAAGATCTGAGAGAATCCACAAATCCTAAACCATGAAGTAGACTGTTGTCACACGTTTTGTTAAATTTAGAACTGAAATTAGAACAATATTGCATCATAGTATAATGAATGTACTGTTATAAATGCTATCCTCCTGTTATTATCAAAAAAACGTTGGTAGCATGTAAAACTTGGGTTTCAGTATATATAATGAGCATGACTTTGGATATAATAATCTTGGGTATCCTGATAAGTGGCTTAACCCCTTTTTATTTTTTATGCAATATTGTTTTTGTCATATTTTCTTTATAATGTTTACCACTGTTATTTTCATTCTTTTTTTTTTCTTTTTTTTTTCTATTTCCCATTCTTTATTTCACTTTTTCCACTATTATTGTTTAAGGTCTTTTAGTTAGGCATTTAGGAGATTTGCCCCTTTTGGACTTCCTTTTTTCCCCTTCATACTTTTTGCAACATTTCAGTGGTAATATGTAACTTATCTCTAAGTCACTTCTTGTCACTGTATCTATCTGTAACACTTTCACGTCAAATCCATGTTATGGGACATTTACAATCACAGCACAGCACAGGATATCACTCTTCTCTCCTTGGTATGACATCATTTTACACACCATGCAGCACACCACTGGCTCTCTGCACTTTAAGATTTTGAATTTGTCAGTACTCTGAGAACTTCATGTATTGCTTAAGTTTCTGCACTTTCAGCATTTATACATTTGTGTATGTACATACTGATCTGTAAAACATTTAAATCATTTAAATCATATAATTTAAATCAATTTTCATCGGAGTGTGGAAAGACAGAGTCTGAGCTTTGTTAGTATTCAATTTGTAACATATTTTGCCAATTTCATGAAAGGTGGACATTAGGGAGTCAACTGAAGTCATAGAATTTTTTAATGAAAGCATAATGTCCTCTGCTAAAAAGCCAATTTTATGCACCCTGTCCCCTACCACAATGCCCTCTATATCTGCACACTGTCTAATAATTTTAGCCAGAGGCTCCATTGCCAGCACAAACAAGAGTGGCGACAACTGACAACCCTGCCTGGTCCCATTGGACAACTTAAAAGTTTCAGAAATAAAACCAGTTGCAGATATCCTTGCAGTTGGAGCGTAATATAGCGCAGACACAGCCCTGATGAAAGGATCTGGAATATTAAATAGCAACATAACCTCCATTAGGAAACTCCAATGAATTTGATCAAATGCCTTCTCCGCATCTAGTGAAAGAAGCAGAGAAGGAATATTGTCCAATTTTATCTGGTGAATCAAATTAATGAAACGCCTAGTACTGTCCGGGGACCTGATGGTTTAATACAAATTCTACCTGGCCTTTGTTAATTAAAGAGGGGAGAATTTGTGAAAGTCTAATAGCCAATATTTTCTAATACATTTTGGTGTCATTATTAATCAGGGATATGGGTCGAAAATTTTAACTAACATTAGGAGTTTTTCCAGGTTTTTGGTAAGGTCACAATTTGGGCACACAAAACCTCCCCAGACATCTATCCTGTATTATTATATATTAAATAAACAAGTCAAATATGGGGTTAAAATGCTGGAGAAAGACATAATATGCCATTGTAAAACCATCAGGTCCCGGAGAAAAAAAAAAAGGTAGCAAAAGAGGTGAGGACGGACAATAGCTCAAATAGCCTGCCCTTCGGTGGGTCCCCGCTCAGATCTCAAGCTGGTTTTAGCTCAACTTGTGCCATTACAGAGAGAACATCTCTAAAGCATATCAGACTGGTCCCACCCATATGGGCAGTCCAGAACCAAAATGCCAGCAAGTTCCCTCTGCACAAGAGATACGGCAACCCCAGATGATTGTTTCAATCCGCTAACGAATTACTAATTTTCACAGGGTGGGTCACTTTTACGCCACCATCATTTAGCAAATGTTCAATTCTTGACTGGGAAAGTTTATGTTGTAAATTAGAGGCTAACAATGAGGAAACCTTATTGCCTTTTGGAAAAAAAAAACAGTTTTAATCATTCAAACTGAATGGACCTAGATGGACCAAATTTATTTGCCAATTTTAAATTGTACAACTCTTTTTCCAACTCTTTCAGATTTTTTGGATCTAATTTCCTTCAAGTAGGAAGCTCTTTGATTAAAGTTACTCCATAAAACTGCCTTATGAGCGTTCCATAATGAAGTTTCTGATACAATTGGAGTTGAATTATCTCTAAAATAATCAGTGAGAACTTTTTCAGCTAGTAATGTGTTTTCTACATCTGTGACCAAATTGTCACTAACTCTCCATGTTCTATTTTTACTTGACTGGACTGACTCTTCTAAATATAACACTATGTAAGTTACAAACATGTGATTGAAAATGAAAGGCTGGCAGTCATAGCCAAGAGATGTATGGCTAGGGCTGCATGGACAGACACAAGAGTGATTTAACTCCTTAATGGCAGAGAATTGAGCAGTGAGACTGCAGGGAAATAATCTATACACAAATAATGCTTTATTAGGTAAAAATTTGTTTTAATGACTAGAGTCCCCTTAAGCTTCTGGCAAGAGATCCCCATGCATTCCACACTGAGACAGCGAAACAGAAAAAAGTTAACAACGCATAAATTCAAACATGGATATTATAACCATACTTGTGATATTATGTATTATATAACATAGGTGAATAGTGTAGAATGAGAAAACAATACATATACCCTAAAGGGATTCTTAAGATGATGCTTCTAGAGACATGAAAGGAATTAAAAAAAAGGAAACTCTCATAGGGCAACACAATAGTTCTTCATAATAAAACTTCAGTATATATTCTCCAATAGTCACAATCTCATTTTATTGAGTGTGTTGTGACAACTGGCTCAAGAACATCAGCTTAGAGTGTGATACATGTGTTTCAGCCCAGGTGGATATTGGCTTGATCTTTAATGGAGAAGATGTAAAGAAAAGCAGTACCAGTTACGGTCAAATCAATCGCATTTATTCAAAGTATAATAAAAATGGGGAGGTGGAGGGGGGGTTGGGGAGGGGCATGGGTGACTGCCGGGCAAAATGTCCGCTAAAGAAATTGCTCTGGCACCTCGGCTCCAGATCATACAATATTACAATCCGTATAATCCTCAAAATTACCCCAAACCAGCATGGCACAACACAAGACCAAAATATCTACCTCTAGAGCTTTGGCCAAAAACCGTCCTCTGTGTCCAAGGCCGCAAGATGGCACTCAAAACTCGGATGCCAGCAATCAAATGGCAGCTCTGGACGATTTCAAAACCCCTGAAAGCCTAACCAAATATTACTTTGAACAAGCCATGGAAGCTATGTCTGCAAAGCTTATACACACATGGCAGTCCACAGCAGACCAACTAAGGAAAGAAGACCAGGACCTAAACACCAGAACATCCCACGTGGAGAAAGAATGCAAAGAATTCACCTCTTCACACAACGACATGGTGGATCATGTGCAAGCGTTGAAGCACAAACTGGAGCTCATGGAAATCCGCATGGCGGACTCTGAGGATAGAGCGTGAAGAAATAACCTATGCCTGCGGGGAGTCCCCGAATCTGTCCTACCATGCAGGTCTACGTCAGGGGCCTTATGCATGCCTATGTCCTGTGAATCCCTTCAGACATGCTGCTGGTAGACAGGGTCCATAGAGTCCCCAAACCTTCAAAACTTACCGGACTCAGCGCCATGCAATGTTCTTCTCAGGGTGCATTACTTTCAATTTTAAAGAGATCATCCTCCAATCCTGGCGGAGCAAGCCTGACCCACACAAGGAATATCCCACGGTACGAATCATGACGTACCTGTCGGTGGCAACTCTACGGCGAAGAAAGGAATTCCATCCCATCACGGTAGAGCTGAGAAACCAGGGGATCCGCTACAGATGGGGATAACTCACAAAGCTGTTACTAACCAAAGAAGGAGGGACAAAATGTATCAACACCGTGGAGGAAGGTGTGAAGCTACTCAAAGAATGGGGCCTACGCACCAAAGGACCCGCAAGACCCTTCACTCAAACGTCGACTGCCTGGCACAGAATCCGTACTTGAACTGCCCCGCATCGCAGCAACAATTTAAGTCGCAAGTACCCCTTAGTTACGTTTATGTATTATGCTGACTGTATTCAGTTTATGGTTACTCAGTTATACTTTCTGTTTATTGTTAAGATTACCAAGTAACACTGACCTCAATATGCTAGATGAAACATATAGTGAACTGGCACCGGTCCAATAATTGTGTGAAAATCCCTAGTAGCCATTGCCGAGATCTTGCTCTTAAATGGCTAGGAATCAACTTATGATAGCTCCCAAGGCCCATCAAGGCACAATACTCCCAATGTACACTACTGGGGCAGAAGATGGATTTAGCCTTGAATGGGACACCACCAAGGCCGAGATAGGGATACAACGTGGTGTACCTCTATGACTGAGTGCATCACCCAACTCAAAGCAACCCAGGCCATAAATGACACCCAGGTAAAAACCTTATAGCTACTGGAGAGAATATTTCTCACGAATTGTACATTTAAGCTAATAAGGCTACTGTATCCTGGCCACAGAGAGCGTGTAAACCTGCCATACTGTTTTTCTGTCATTTTTTATTATCCTCATGATTCCGGAACACTCAGTGTCACCATTATAATTATTCTACAAGGTATCCCCAGAAATTATGCAAGATAACCACACTGATAGCCTATACATGGAAATGTGCATAGGATAACTTTAGCCTGCACACACACTATGTGGTTACTTATGTTACTTAAATGTTGTAAATAGCAATGATTATGACTTAACCACTACCTGCTTTATATGTCTCCAATATATATTGGTTAAACAAATGATGATTCTGCAATCACCATACCACCAAACTGGTGCCCAGAAACCACCCAATAGGAGGTTTCGATTCCCAACCCACGGCATGACCCTTCATATCCTGACCATTAGAGGTTAACTGTATATACTTTATTTTGAGTCTGCCCTCACACCTTTCCTTTGGTTAATCTTCCCCCTACCTTACCTTCTGGCCACAACCCAACTCAACTAGCCAAAAAAAAAAGAAAAAGGTTTGCTTCTTCTAACTATACAAAGTGTATAACACGTTTTGTAACGAATAGAATATCCAAATTTGGTCTCAAACAATACCCCACCCAATACCACGCAACTCACTCCTCAAAATCAAGATGGGTCTCTATTCTCCTGCACAACTCGCTATCAGTGGAACTTCTCCACATAAAAAAAAGACAGCCAAGGCAGAGACCCAATTCTGCACTGTATTATCAATAACCTCCAATTTACACTAGTTTGTTTCTACAGCCTAAATGAACAACAAAGGAGCTTTCTTCACAAAGTGCTGGCAAAAATACCAGCAAATACGAACAGCCCATGGTTATCTGCGGCAACTTCAACCCTACGCCAAACTCTCGTATGAACACCACCATATCTGCCACTTCAGATAGACACACTAAACTCAAAACCACCAACCAGGCACTCACAAAACTACTTTTAGAACACACCACCCAAATGACAGAGAATATTCATACTACTCAACTGTGCATAAAACTTACTCCAGAATAGACCTCATTCTAATAGCTGGGTCCCTCCTCCACATGGTAACCCACTGCACTATATTTAACATAGTATGGTCTGACCATGCCCCAACAACCTTAACCTAGACAGACCAATCCCAACACAGAAGCAAGCCACCTTAGTGCCTGAACGATTCACTCCTGCATGACGCTTCCTTTGTAGAACAGGTATCAGATAACATACAAACGTACTTCAGACTCAACAACACTTCAGATGTATCCACTCTTTCCATCTGGCAAGCCTATAAACTCATAATAAGGGGTCTACTAATAAGTCGTGCCTTTTACCTCAAACGAAAAACCCAGCAGGAACACATAGCTCTCCTATGAAAATTAAGAGATAATACAAATGCCCATTTCTTACACCCCTCAGACAATCACACCAAAACCATAGCAGAAACAACAAACCAAATCAATACACTAACCTTGAACAAGACGGCACGCATATTAACCAAATTGAAAATGAAAACATACTCCCAAGGCAATAAAGCTGGGAATACAGAAGCACTGTTTCGACAAAAACAAGGGGAAATCCCCTGGAGCAGATGGCCTTACCAATTCCTACTACAAACAATTTGCACCTCTCTTAGCACCTGGAAAAAGTATTCAACCACTTAATCCATACAGGAAATATGCCATCAGAAATGCTAATGGCACATGTTGCCACTCTCCCAAAACCAGGGAAAACCCCAATAGAAGCCAAAACCTAAGGCCAATCTCTCTGTTAAACACAGATGTCATACTCATAGCAAAAATCTTCTCAAACAGACTGTCTCCTATCATCCCATCCTTGATCCGAGAAGATCAGGTTGGCTTTATGGGAGGCAGACAGGGTGCCGATGGCCTCCTGTATGGGATGCGGGGGGAAGGTTTCCTTGGATGCTGAAAAAGCTTTTGATAGGCTCAATTGGCCTTTCCTCCTCGTAGTGCTTCAGAAGTTCGGGTTCCCACCCCAATTCTCTGCACTAATTACCGCACTTTACTCCACCTCGACAGCACAAATGGTGAATGCAGGCTTTATATCCCGCCATTTCGCTATATCCAAACATAAACAAAGTCAAACTCCAAGGGCACAAATACAAACTATCTTTATTTGCAGATGACATCCTCCTAACTTTAGAACAGCCATATAAATCTCTACCAAATTTCCATGATGTCCTTGCTCAGTACAGCAAATCTTCCTATTATAAGCTCAAAATTGTAAAAATGTTAGCCCTGGGCATAAATATCCCCAAGCAAGAAATAACAGCCCTAAAACAAAACTTCACCTATGACTGGAGACACGATCATATTACATGCCTAGGGGTTCATAAATACCTTATTTAAAGCAAATTATTCAAAATAAAAAAACATCACCCAAGGGACATGCAAAAACTCATTAACACCTACATCTGGGGAAATATCAGACCCAGAGTAGCTAAAACAACACTTTATAAACTATTCTCCCATGGTGGGATGGGAATGCCAGACGTAATGGGATACTACCGAACGGCTCATATAGCCCCCTTACGATCCACATTTCAACATCCTAACCCACTTGCCTTGAATGAAATAGAAAGGAACCATGCGGAACGTCAAAAAAAACATCTATTGCCCACAGCACCCTCGACATTTGGGATAACTACCGCAAAAAAATGGGCTTGGGATGACAACCTCCCCAGTCCTACTACTGGAAGCCCTACCACTACTCATCCCAAACTTCAATTACAACATCTGGAACAGGCACGGCATTGTCAATATGTTATAACTGCTGCAGAGCCCACACCTCAAATTACCCACCACCGCCAACTTCTCCTATATGCAACTGCAATCTTAGATCAAAACACAACCCACAGCCCCCAACACACATCCCCGTAGCCCACAGAGGCTGAGAAAATCTGCTTAAAACTCAAGCCTCTCAAGAAGCTAATTTCCACAATATACTCCTCAGAACACTCCCTGACCTTCCTAAACTCCCTCTCTTTTAAATCAACAGGTGGAAAAGATATGAAACACCCCCTCATTTAGTCACAATGGAAAAAAATGTTCTTGGCCCACAGACAATGACAATGTGCATGTCTCACATTGAACTATCCCAAAAACTCCTCTACAGATGGTATCTGGTCCCCACGCACCTCAAACAAAGCTTCCCAAACACTTCCAATATCTGCTGATGACACGAAGACAAGGGAAGACAAGGGAAATATGATCCACACTTGGTGGCCCTGCCATAGGCTTAGAAAATACTGGCAAGATGTAGCAAATTTGGTGAAGTGCTGCACAAAAATAGACCTCCCCTTCCAACCTGAAACATTTCTACTTCTGCTGCTACCGAACCGGATCAAAAAAAGCCAAAGGTACTTACTGTATCACATCGTCATAGCAGCCCCTACGGTGATCAGCAGGCAGTGGAAACAAACCCCCCTCCCCTTAATAGGTCAATGCATTACAGTAGTGGAGACCAACAAACATTATGAAGTAATGGAAAGACAAACTCAACCACAAGCCAAATACGGGTCCATGTACATGGAAAACATGGGATAGGTATAGACCCAAACAGAACACACTCTGATACAGAACACTAACCAAAAAAAAAAAAAATAACGAACGACATTCCTCCTTCCACTCCTTCCAAATGAATCTCAATGCCTGATCCTCCCCAAACACTCTGATAGTGTTACAAACATGGTTTTATGAATAAAAGCATGTATACAATCATGATTGATGTACTACTCTGCCTACTGTATAACATTTCCAACAATATGGATGGCTCAGTTTATGTTTTCCCCCTTAATGATCCTCCCTTTTCCTTTCTGTACCCTAAAACAATAAAAAATAAAATAAAAAAAATTATAAAAAAGTATAAAAAAGTCTTACATTAAAAGTAACTGTCATTTTCCCAAAGCACAATGTGGGGCCTGCCCTTCCCTTTCTTTTAACCAATCCTTTTCATTCCCTTA